ATAAATGGCCTAGTGCAGCAGTTCTCAAACTGGGTCAGGTCAAACTGGGTCATTTAATGGGATCACCAGGGCTGGCTTATACTTGCTAGGGCCTGGGGCCAGAGCCAGAGTCCCAGTGCCCCGGGCCAAAGCTGAAGCCCAAGCCCAACTGCTTCAGTCCTGGACAGCGGGGCTTAGGTTACAGGCCCGCTGCCTGGGGCTGAAGCCCTTGGGTTTTGGCTTTGCCCCATTTCTCCCACCCTCACCTGGGGCAGTTGGGCTTGGGCTTTGGCCCCCACACCTCAGGCAGAAGGGCTCGGGCAACCTCAGTCCCCCATCCTGGGGTCTTGTGGTAATTTTTGTTGTCAGAAAGGAGTCGTGGTGCAATGAAGTTTGAGAAACCCTGGCTTAGTGATACCTTTGCAATCTAGCTGTGAAATATACTCAGTGCTGATGCACAAGTAGATCTTGAAAAATAAACTGTTGGACAGTGAGCAATATTTTGGGGCTTTTTTTTAGTCTTAGTAAAACAATTATTTGTAAATCTTGGTACAGGCTTCCTTAAAAGTCTGTAAACATGAATTAAGTATAACATAACTAAACCATAAAGCGTGTATGCCCTGATATTTTTGTTGTTACTTCAAACATCAAGAGGGCAGAGTTTGTACGAATGAAATCATTAACTGTTCTTATTGACTTAAAACTCACTCTATAAAATCTTTGTTTTAAAGAGTGTTTCTTTTCATTAAAAGAAAAGCAAAGAGTTGAAGGGTCCAGATTTACCTCCGAAAAGAGCAAAATCCTCTGCTTGCAGAACAAGTATAGCAGTGATTGTGTGGGTGAAGGTTGCAGTAGCTAGCCACTGTGCTTCAATCCTGACCCGCTTTTAGGGATGGAGAAGTTAATTCAGTTTCCAGACAAGTACAATCCTTTTGATTCTAGTGAGTGAGCCAACAAGGGTGTCTGCCTTTTACAGAGGTGGTGTTTGTGTTGTGGTCACCTATCCACTAAGGATAGATTGAGATTTTCGTCCCATTTCACATAGATCACTGAATCATCCTCAGATGGTATTGATTTTTCCTCTGGGTTCAGACCATTGGCTTAGAGGCCAAAGGTTCCATATTTCATTATCAAGCTTGCAAGCCCTTCTGTTCCCATCCTCTCCTTAAAAAGAAAGTGTCTTACAGTTACAATGCAAGAATGTCAGATTTTTTTTTTATGTTGCTGGGATACATCAGCAATATTCATTCTGTGAACACACATACATTCTGTAAACTTGATTCTGCTCTAATTTTGTCATTGATTTAAATGGGAGCTGGACCAGATCTTTGATTTCTTTAGGACACAACAAGGTTCATGTATTAATCTAAATATGGTATTGAGTGATCTTAGATTATTTGAGCATGGAAAAAAAACATTATGCTAGGATGATCACAAAAGAAGTAAATCAAAACTTAGTTGCACGTTGAGGGCTAGGGGTCTGTGTGTAGAATAAGCTGAGGATCAGGGCCTTAAATAGTTTAATAGTATCAGTATTATGTGAGACTGGAGGGTAATGTGTAAAAATACTACATAAATCAGAATGGTAGAGCTATCAAATAGCTGAAAAAGGATGTGTGTTCATTTCACTAACCTGGAAAAGAGTGATCAGACACCTATTTTGCTTCTTGAGATGCTCATAAAAATTATAAACACTGTACCACTTACATCTGGTATCTTAATTATTTTTCCCCACAAAAGAAATCATATGTGCAATGAATTCTTTGTGTTCTCTACTTAACAAATGCCCTGCTGATCTCTTTCCAGGCCTAATATAATGAAATACTATGCAGAAATCATAAGAAAGTGCTGTATTTTCAGTTAGGTTTGTTTTTTATAAAAAAAAAAAAGCTCCACTCAAGAACTGTCATACATTAGCTTTTTCACAGAATGGAGATTAATACCATAATTGAGCAACACAATATAAAGTGACTGTCCACTTAAACTACTAGCCAAAATTAGTTTAATGCTTGAATTGAGGAATGGACTTCCCTGGAGCAGATGACTAGGTTGATACTCGGAGTAAAGGCTGGCAGTTTTACTGCTCATCCTTCCATCAATAAGATTACAAGATCTAATTTTTTAAATGATTTGGGCCAGAACCTGTAAATTTAGCATAACTCAGTTGAACTCTGTGGAGCTATGCTAGTTTATATCAGGTGAGGATCTGGCATTGTATGTACAGTTTCTTTGCAGTGATAACACTTTAATATGGTATTATAACCCCAACAGAAAACTTTAAAGTGAAATTAAGATTACAGGTTCATTTCTGTGGTTTGAGTTTTAAAAAAAAATAGGAACTCAAGAAACATAGCGATAATGTAAAATTTAGAAGAAACCCACACCTATGAAAGTATGTAAATGTAAGTGAAGTACAGTACCTTAACTCTGCCCCTTACAGATGCCAGCCTACCATCTTTGCCATGCAGAGTACTAAAAATGTGCATCAAATAGGGCTCTGTGTCTGTCACGGAGGTCACCAAAGTCATGGATTCCGTGACTTTTCGTGACCTCTGTGACTTCTGTAGCAGCCAGTGTGGCTGACCTCAGGGCCGCCCAAGTAGCTGGCTCTAGGGCCAGCTGCTCATGTGGCCCCAGGGACAGCCGCTCTGGCCGCTGCTTAGGAGGCCCCGGGCAGCTGGCCCCATCTCCTGAGCAGCTGCTGCTAGGCGGTCCCCACCACTGGTCCCAGGGTGGCCAGAGCAGCTGCTGTCAGCAGCCCCCAGCAGCGATCCTGGGGCAGCCAGAGCAGCTGCGGTTGGCTTGGCAGCCCCCAGCGGCTGGTGCCACTGCCCACCTGCCCAGCAGCGACCCTCTCTTCCCCTTCCCCTTCCCCCAAGATTTAGTATGGGGTATTTATAGTACAACTCATGGACAGGTCACAGGCCATGAATTTTTGTTTATTGCCCGGGACCTGTCCATGAGTTTTACTAAAAATACCCATGACTAAATCGTAGCCTTATTCATAGGATATTGATTTTTATAATGTTCCATATCTGCATGCCTCTGCCAGTGAGGATTTGTTACCATACTACTTTCCTTTATTTATATAAATGTTAGAATTTCATGATCTGGACATATGGGATTTGTATATGGAGAAATGCTGGCTCTGTGTCTGTTGTCGCTCCTCCCCCTAATCCCTTGCCCTCTGCTTGCTCTTCATTGCCCTACAGATCCTCTCAGGTCTCCTAAGTGCTGCCAGCAGGAGACCTCAGGGTGTGTATGTGCATATACAAACGGGTGGGGAAGCTAGAGATAACAAACGTCTTGGGTGCAGTTCGCTAGACCAGGAAGCTGTCTCATTCCCCCACAGAATAAATGAAGTAAATTAACTTAATTTTAATTGTTTCCCACTCTCAATTCTTTAAATTAGGAATCTGTCTAAATAAATAAAAATTAGAAGAACTTTATAGCTGTGTTGACCAGTACTTTTTAAATGTTTTCATTTTCAAAGAGCTGGCCTGACTAACTTCACTCTTGGTTGGGAAATTCTCCTTTTTCCTAAGACAAGCCTCTTTAGCGATCTATTTATGTTTTGAGGCCTCTCTGCAAGGCTAGAGACTTGAAAGCTTATGTCTACAGCAGTAATTTGAGTCCTATTTGAACTTGCTGGAGTCTGATACTCATTTATTATTATTCTACCATGGAGTATTGCATAGTTTTTCCTCTCAGTGAAGAATGTAATATGAACCGTCCCTAACAAGTTTTGTGCTATATTAAGAATACAAATTGTCAGAAGAATCAATAGTCCTCTAAAATGTTTAATAGTATTTAGTGGTTATTGTTAGCCTAAAGGAAGAAAATCCTGGATCATAATTTACTGAAAAGTCATGGGATGAATCTTAAGAGTTTTATTTTTGTTTGTTCTCCGTGGTCACCAATCCTGAGATCTGGAACAATGTTAAAGGAAAATTCTAGTGTTTTTATATCGAAGCTTGTGAGGACAGACACATGTCTTAGAAGCTATAGACTAGGGGCATATCTCTCAACCTTCAGTGCATGACACAGTCAATCCAAATGTGTGACAAATGACCAAAATGTGGAATACCTGGGTTTTGCTGCACAATGTGCCACGTTAGACAAGTTATAGTGATTTTGTGTAAGCTATAGAATCTGTATTTAAGAACACATCTTCACTAGGTGAATTAAATACACCAGTTTTTTTTAAAAGAAACTGGAAAAAACAAATTCTACCATGACTACCAGGGTTGGGGTGAATCCTGGTTGCACATCAGTAGAGTTGGAACCCTCCAGCCGTTTGGATCACCAGCACAGACCTCTATCAGTTGAGCTAAAATAGTAACTTATCTTTTCTGAGGGCCAGCCATTAAAGGGGGATGTCACACATGCTTTGCCAACTAATTACTAGACATCAGAAGAATGTTGGAGAGGTCAGGAAATCTAGGGTTTTTTCCTGACTGTTTGAGGGGAGTGGTAGTGGTTAGAACCAGTGGTCTGTTTGAAAGTCAATGTAATGTGTACTCATAAATCCTTTGGGTGCTTTTGAAAATCTCCTCCTTGGGGGAAGAATAATCTTATTTGTTTTTCACTTTATTGTAATACTCAGCTTCACACAATAGAAAAATATGCTGCTCTCTAGAACTACTTCTATTTTTCTCTTTTCCCTCCTCTTTCTTCACCATCCTTTGTCTTTCTTCCTTAAAAAGCCTTTTCTTTTTGCGGATACAGACTAACATGGCTGCTACTCTGAAATATATCTTCCTTGTCTGTCTTCCCTCGTTTATTCCTTCCCTGTAGTAATCCCCAATTTCTTCCCTGCCTTCTGTGAGTTTCACTGTCATTTGCTTTCCCATTCTATCCAATAATCAGCAATTAAATAGTTAATACTGACACTTAGTGTTGTCAGTCTTTAGAGATAGCACTCCAGTTAGATTAATGGAGACAGGAGCTAAATGTCTGTATACATTCAGTTAGTGTTTACAATCTCACCTCTGGTTCCTTTTGTTTCTCTTTCCAATCAGAAGATGAAGAGCCTGGCTCAAAGACGTCAGTCTGCACCATCTCTGGTCCTCAGCAAAGCACTTAACAAGTCCAGAACTATCACCAGGTGAGTTGATGTATTTTGCTGGTTGTGCTTTTTCCAGTTCCTGAGCCCAAATCCTGAGATGTTTTTGACAAGCAGTTATCCATACCAGGCTAAATTATGTCTTCAGGCACAGCCATATTGAGGAGTAGTAGGAGGTGCCTTCACTGCTAACTACATTGGCATAATATCTACTGGAAGGCATAATGCATCCAGAGGTGCTGCGTGGAATGCATGGAGAGATGGCTCTTGCTACAACTTTTAAAAGGCATTTTCAGTGCTGCTCTCTAGCACAGCTATCCTAATGCTGGCTGATATGCCAAGGAGGCAAGCATAGCTGCTCTCCGGCCACACCCAGGCCTGCCTTATTTGAGCTCCTCAGCCCATCAGCCAGCATTCGTCAACCCCATTCCTTTTGCACTGGAAACCAAATCATGGCTGCCTGCTCTGGTGATGGAGTGAGCGGGGAAGGAGGGGGAATGGTTCCCTCTTTCATTCTCTCCCCTCCCCCTTGCCCCCGTGCAGCACAAAGTATAGTTCAGTATCTGTTGCTGTATGAGCTAAGTTTCTGTGATACATTACTGTATATAACTTTCCTCTTATGCTATGTTGGCATCTTATTAACAATTCAGTAGACTTTAAACCTGCAAAGTACCAATGTTTATGAAATAGTGAACAGTCAAGTAGAATGTTATTATGTCAGACTAAATGGAGAATCTTACTGAGAAGCATAACTGAGGAAAGTTAAAGCACAACTACGCAAAGAATCACTTTCTCCCACACTGTGGTTTGGAATTGAGGGAATTAATGTGTGGGTCTTGGAAAATTTGCTGTTTGATCTACTTAATACCTGAATCCATGTTTATCATCCAGTGGAATTCCAGAGCATTTGAAAAATCTGAAAAGAATAATGAGAAAATATCAAAGTTGCAAAAGAACAAAGGAAAGTAAACTGAAAGGACTAGACACTGCTACAGGTCTTTTTTTTTTGTCTTTGAATCAAAAGGAGAAACATAGAAAAAACCTCTAAATGGTGTTTACACTACTTTGTGCAGTCTTCATGGGATTGGAAACCTGGAACTCATGGGTTCTGGCCCTGGCTCTGACACTTCCTTTGTAACCGTGAACCAGTCACTTAACTGCTCTGTTTTAGTTTCTAGGTTACTTACCTTCCTTATTAAGGGGTTAGTTATGACTCAGAGTCTATGGTAACTCATATTTATGATCTGTTATTTACTATTTCCTCACCATCTTTGCAACTACCTTAACATTTGTGATTTCACAGAACACTTTTTCATGCAGAATTGAATTTCTCAAAGCAGAGAGGGGTTTGCATCTTCCTATATACTGTGAGTGGTGACAGCTTGAGGTTGTGATTAGACACACGGAGACAGGCTCCCACAATACTTAGTCTTCAGAGTTTTCCTCAGCTTGTTGGCATCTAGCTCAACATCTGTCCATCCCTTTAATGGTCCCGTGTCTAGAGCCAGCTGTATCTGCAGTAGCTCAGTTTTCTCTCCTTGGAAGGGATAAGCAAGGGCTCAGCTTAATTAATGTCTGGTGCTTTCAATACGTACAGAACTATATAAAAGAACTAAGTGTTTTATATCCCACTGTCCTCAGATAATGGACTTTTCCAATAGTATGGGTCTCATTTATAATGATCCCCCCAAAAGTCAATCATTAGGAGCCATTTCTACCAACAGAGAGTCCTAAAATTTTAGGACCTGCTCTGTTGAGTTCAGTGACAGAACTTTCCTTCACTATACTAGAATCAGGCTTGTGCCCTTAGAAAGGAATACAAGGTAACCCTTTGGATCGTCCGGTATTTTCATTTTTCACTAGGATTGTAATTTCTGTATTACCCTATTCAGCTTTCCTCTTCTGTTGCACAAAACGCATTCCTCTTCTTCAATAAATGGGATGAGTTTGAACTTCCTGCTCTGCTTGTTGTGTAAATGTTTAACTCTTGTGAAGTGTTCTCTCATTTTAAAAGAGAGCTAAAGAACAAAAAAACAACTGTTTTCTAATCTCCAAATATTTTCTCTCTCAGCTATTTTAGCACTTAGTTCCCTTTTGTTGTAAGCAAAATCCATTATTCTCCTTCTGGCAGTGATCCCCAATGCCAGTACTCCAATACTCTGATTTGTTAATGGTTGATTAATCACTTGTAGATAATAAGATCCTATGCAAAGTTAGCATACATCTGTGAGGTATTTTATATTAATCGTCTCACCTCAACAGCTGGTTCGCCTCAATATTTGTTGAAATTAATGAGCAAGTGCAAAGATTTTTATAAGGGCAGGAAATACTTCGAAACATGAGTCGGTTCATATTTCAATAGCAGTTTATATATCTCAGGTGTCCTCAGACTGCATACGACACAACTTAATAAAAATGCAAGTGCAGGGCAAACTTGCCTTCAGGCAATGTAAAGATTATTCACAGTACTTTTTTTTTTTTTTTTTTTTTTCCCCTTAAAGAAACCGTTCTGATGTATGGAGGTAGCTGTTTTAGCATTCAGTGAATTACTTATCATGGCAATTGGCAGAAATTTGGAGTATAGAAGAGTCTGAATGTTTTATAAGATGGTTGCTATAGTGCTGTGATCTAGGGCTGTGTGGCTGTTACTCTAGATTTACACTGGTGTAATCCCATTAATACCAATGGAATTAATCTGGATTTACACCAGAATAACAGTAGAATATGGCCTATTGTCTCCAAAGGATGAAAATATTCGGAATGTTCTTTTGCTCTTATTTTTGGTTTTCTTCTTCTCCATAAAAGCCAGCCTGTCTGTCTTCACAAAGTAACACTGGATGATCATGCTAGCACTTTTTTCAGGTAATTTAGATGGCTGCATTTGAAGTACTTTGAGCAGGTTTTACACTAGAAATATAATGAAAAGACTGCCCCAGTGTATCGTGACCTTGATATGGAACAGCTTGAGTATTCCCAGGGTCCTGAGAGCAGTGCCGTTGGGAGTCTTGCACTCCTGGCAGGTTCACCCAAAGCGGAAAAGTAAGCTTCCAGATGAACACCAAAAAATAACCAAACAGAGTGAGGAGCAGCAATCGTGGCCAGAGAACTCGGGAGACATGACCTCAACAATGATGCACTGAGTGAGACCTGACATGTAGAAGGACAGCTCAAGGAACAAAGTGGTAGTTACACTTTGTTCTGGAAAGTAACGGGTGACGATGAGGGACGAATCCAGGGCGTTGGTTTTGCCATTAAAAAAAAAATTGTCAACCAACTCTCAGAATTATCACTTAGCATCAATGAATGACTCATGACCCTGTGCCTTAAACTTGCCAAGAACCAGCATGCAACACTCATCAGTGCATATACTCCAACCCTTGATGCTGATGAGGAAACTACAGAAGGATTCTACATCAACCTTGACCAAATTTTCTCCATCATCCCCAAAGAGGACACACTCCTACTCCCTGAAAGATTTTAATGCAAGAGTTGGACGTGACTCTGAGCTCTGGAATGGCATGATTGGAAAGGAAGGAGTGGGTGAGACCAATTCTAACGGAATTCTTCTCCTAACAAAATGCACAGAACACAACCTAATTATCACGAACACTAGGTTCCACCAAAAGAACAAGTACAAGACATCATGACAACACCCGGGGTCTAAGTATTGGCATCTGATCAACTATGTCATTGTCCGTGATTGTGAAGATGTTTACATCACCAAAGTGATGACAGGTGCCGAAAATTGTTGGATGGACAGTCACTGCATCTGCTCCATTACTTCTATCAAACTTGCATCAAAACAACAAATGTGGAAGAAATCAACCAGATGGAAGATCAGTGTTGAGAGTCTCAAGGACCCAACTAAATGTGACCTTTTCTGGCAGTGCCTCCCTGAGAAACTGATGAATACCAAAACTGAGATGTAGAGCCCCGAAGATCACTGGAAAGCACTCAAATCAGCTGTGTATGCTGCATGTGAGAGAACACTGGGCTTCTCAGCCAGGAAACACCAACATTGGTTTGATGAGAAGGATCAGGAAATCCAAGATCTGATCAACTGTAAGCACAAGGCCTTTTGTGCTTGGCAGAATGACATCAATTCCAAGCAGAAGCCATATGTCCACCATCAACTCAAAGCTGAGGTTCAAAGGAAAATACATGAAATGAAGAACAAGTGGTGGGAGAACAAAGCAAAGGAGATCCCAACAACTCGCGAACACCCATGATGTGCACAGATTCTTCAACGCCACTAAAGCCCTCTATGGACCCAGCACCCAAGAGCTAACCCCCCTTAGATCCAGGGATGGATCCAACCTCCTCAGGGACAATGAATTGACCAATGAATGATGGAAAATACTTTGAAGATCTCCTTAATCACGACTCCAATGTTGACAAAAGCATCTTTGATGGGATGTTGAGGGGTTAAGTTAAGGATGACCTTAGAACCCCACCAACACTCATTAAGGTAAAAGAAGCCATCAAGCAGATGAAGAACAATAAGGCATCTGGACCTGATGGAATCCCCACCAAAATCTTCAAAGAAGGAGGAGAAGAATTGTATCACCAGCTTCATGCCCTAATGTTCAAGATTTGGAATTCAGAAGAAATCCCAGACGATCTTAGGGATGCCATGATCATGACCATCTACAAGAAACAAGACAGATCGGATTGTGGAAACTATTGGGGAATTGCCCCGTTGTCCACTTCCAGAAAGATTCTTGCCAGAATTCTCCTCAACTGGCTGCTTCCTCTTACCGAGGAAATCCTCCCAGAATTGCAGTGCAGATTCAGACTGTCTCAAGGTACCACCAACATGATCTTCACCACCCACCAACTTCAAGAAAAATGCTGCAAACATCATCAACCTCTGTATATGATCTTTACTGACCTCACAAAAACATTAGACTCTTATCAGTTGTGAGAATCTGTGGAGAGTTCTCCTTAAATTTGGATGCCCACCAAAAATTGTTGATGTCTTCTGACTCCTCCATGACAACATGTCTGTGATGGTGGTCAGCAACGGCTCCAAAATGGACCCC